AACTTCTACTTGACAAGAAGTTCAATGATTATCTGTTGCACAAATTACAACTTGGTGTTTAAGCTGTGAAAAGTCTCAAATAGTTGGAGAATAAGGATTTGATCAAAAACTTGTTTGAAGAGTCCAAACTAGATTTAATAAATACTCATCCGTTTTCAATTTATTTGTTGTATTTTTATTTTAATTTTGTTTATAATACAATGTTCTTTTTTTTTTAGGGAGATGGGGAAATTCTTTAATTCTAACACTTTATGTCACATGTTTAAGACCACAAAGTTAAAAGAAATTTTTTGTATAGTCTACATATCCTTAAATTACGGTCTTCTTTATTTTTGAAATTTTCATATCAAATTAAAATTTGACAAATCTATATATATCTTTCTTTCTATCTATATATATATACATACTACCTTTAAAATATGAACTACATATCTTAAATGTTAACTTATTATAATACCTCCGACTTAAAACATACAATTTAGTATATCTTCTATATTTTATATTATATTATATTTATTTATTTATACTATATAATATTATATTAAAAGCAGACACCGTTTCACATTGAAGGGTCGTGACTATTCCAAAGAGTTATGACTTTTTCAATGAGTTATGATTTTTTCGAAGGGTTGTGACTTTTCTAAAGAGGTGTGACTTTTTCGAAGGGTTGTGACTTTTTTAAAGAGTTATGACTTTTCCGATGAGTCATGACCTTTGCGAAGGGTTGTGACTTTTCTAAAGGTTGTGACTTTTTTTATAAGACACAATAAACATTTTTTCATACTACCCTTTGTTGGTTATAAAAAGAGGGGTTTCCTCAAATTTTAAACTACAATTTTTTTCAAGTTTTCTATTGCTCTTCTTCTTCTTAAAACACCTATATTAGTATATCTTCTATATTTTATATTATATTTATTTATTTATATAATTTTATTTTAAAAGTACACACCTTTTCGCATTGAGTGATTACTATTTTTCCAAAAAGTTGTGACTTTTTTAATGAGTTGTGACCTTTTCGAAGGATTGTGACTTTTATGATATATTAAACACAATAAGCACATGTACACTTCAACTATTCATTTGTTAAACATGAAATCTTTAATTGATGAGTATATTGTTAGTAATTTCTATTTTGTGGACTCACATATTAATATTTATATATTATATGTAGATATGCTATCATTAAAGTAGCCCATTGTATGATCTAATAAAATATTAAAGTTTGAGGCTTTAAAAATAAATATATATTAATATGGGTTTATTTTAGATAACTTGAAACCCATGGACCTTTTCTCAAGTCTGATGGAGACTTATTGAAAAAGTACAATTTAAACCTGTAAAGATATCTTTTTAGATGAAAAGACACATTTTCTGAAAAGACACTTCAGAATCCTTTAAAAGAATTTGGTCTCTAAACCAGAAGACATATTTTTTCTCTTTCTCTCCATCTAAGAAAAAGAACACTAAGAAAGTAATCTTCATGGTTTGAAAGATCAAGTTCATTAATCAATTATAGTCTTCTTCAATCAAGTTATTGCAATGGATTAAGGTTAGTGTTCCTATCATTCTCTAATATTGATGTTTATGTCTAGTGATTTACTTGTGATCTTGGGTGAATTCATTAAAGTATTCTAATAAGTGGTATTAGAGAAAGTCTTGTATAGATCATTAGACGTGATTTTTAATTGGGATCCTCTCTCTCTATATATTTTGGTTGGGTGACCATATAAAACTCTATTGTTATTTGTTTCTTTGGCACCTTCAACGAGTAAAATTTCTTGGGGATGTTATTTTTTATTCCCTACACGCCATGTAAAAATAATTTTTTAAGAAAATGTTAATTCCCTATAGCACTGTAGATAAGTTGTAGGGAATACATTTTTCATCTTCTTTCCTTTCTGTGTGCATTGAGACTACAAGGGTTGTGATTGTTTTTATTATCATTATTGTTCTGCTTATTATAAGAAAATGTTTGTTTGTATTGGGATCGTTTTGAGATATACATTGTCTCCAACTAATTAGTTTTCTCAATTATTGAAATAATTTTTTCCCATGAAAGAATAGTTTCTCTTGTTTTCGTTTTGGAATACGGGTTTCTCAGCATTTTTTCGGTCGAAAATTTAGTCTTTTACTATTTGAACTGGTTTGTCAAAGTGATTTTTTTTCACGAAAAGGTTTTTAAAAAAAATTATTCCCTTCTAACAAAGCAAGTCTATACAAATTTTATTTTTAGATGGCTGACTTGTACAATTTTTGTAACAAAGATTTTAAGGGTTAGGGAAGATTTTTTTCTTTAAGTGGAAAATATTTTTTTTTGCTTCTATTGAAAAGTCTCAAGTCTCATGATGTTTGTTACGGCGCAAACCATTAGTTTATAACAATAGAGAAATTCCTTATTTGATTGTTATTTGAAGTAACAAAGGAAATGTTGAATATGAGAAAGTTTTTTGAATGCGAGTATTAATGTGAAATTGTTAAATTTGAACACTCTAATCGTACTTCTTGTTTGATAATGACATAAATTTGAGAAAATGTTATTTTTGTGTGTGATATGAAATGACCCAAATTAAATAGGTTTAATGGATTAAAAGATTCATATAACTGATCCCAATTGGTTTTGAATTGAAGAGCTCTTGTTGTGATTGTTGTTTGGGTAATTGACACTGTGATTGTAGGTTGGTTTATATTTTTAAATTGAAACACAATTTTTTTGTGTTATCATTTTATTTATGTTTCAAGTTCGTAAGTGAATAAATTGAAAACAATATGTTTCCAAAGTAACCTCTATTGCGTAAATTCTAATTACTTTGAACATGTGAACATGTTTTATCTATGCAAAATGACCCAAAGAAAGATTATATTGACTAGAATATGGATAGTCATGAATGTGTGATACATTTAGTAATGCATGCTAGTGATTTGTCAATCCAAAGAATAATATATTATTCCGCCAACATGTAATCAACATTTATAGTGTTGTGCTAGGTATCTTGAGATGGGCCCACACTTATGTATATGTGTGTGTACGATAAATGTATTTTAAATTAATTATTATTGTTACTTCAGCTTATTTAATTTGCTTATCTTCACATGTACATCATATATTTGATTGATTAATTGTGAATTATCTTATATAGTATCTTCTATATACTCCAATATGAACAACATCCTTGTGCTTAATGGCACAAACTTCAATAAATCGAAAGAGCACTTCATGATTGTACGTGGTTGCATGGATCTTGATTATTCATTAAAATTTGATCATCATGTGGACTTGAATGAAATTAGCACTAATGAACAAAAGTCTGCATATGAAAAGTGGGAGCGATCAAATCGCATTAGTTTAATGATGATGCAACACTCAATTCCAGAATCCTTAAGAGACGGTATACTAGAGAATAGAGAGATGCCAAAGGTTTCTTAAAGGAAATAGCAAACTGGTTCACTGCTAACAAAAAGGTTGAAACAAGTACTATTCTTAATAAGATTGTTTCAATTCGATATAAAGGTAAAGATAACATAAGGGAATACATTATGGAGATGTCTAATTTTGTGACAAAACTCAGGGCCTCTAAGCTTGAGTTGTCTGATGACATACTTGTGCACCTAGTATTGATCTTACTTCCTGCACAATTTAGTCAATTTAAAGTTTCATATAATACTCAAAAGGGGAAATGGACTTTAAATGAACTTATAGCTCAATGTGTGCAATATGAGGATAGACTCAAACAAGAGAGGATTGAAAGTGCTCATTTGACATCTATCTTTGAAACTAAAGCCATTTCACATAAGCAGAAAAGGACCAAGAATAAAGAAACTACATACAAAGGAATACTGGAGCCTAAGGATCAAAAGCCCTGTTTCTTCAGTAAGAAACTTGGTCACATGAAGAAAGAGTGTTTCAAGTATGCTACTTGGCGTGAAAAGGAAGGATTGCCTAAGGAGTCGAGTGTCAATTGATGCTGAAAGGTTGTGACTTTTCTAAAGAGATGTGACATTTTTCCGAAGGGTTGTGACTTTTCCAAAGAGTTATGACTTTTTCGATGAGTCATGACCTTTTCGAAGAGTTGTGACTTTTCTAAAGGTTGTGACTTTTTTGATAAGACACAATAAATATTTTTTCATACTACTCTTTGTTGGCTATAAAAAGAGGGGTTTCCTCACATTTTTAAACTACAATTTTTTCAAGTTTTCTATTGCTCTTCTTCTTCTTAAAACACCTAAATTAGTATATCTTCTATATTTTATATTATATTTATTTATTTAGATTATTTTATTTTAAAAGGACACACCTGTTCACATTGAGTGATTACGATTTATTCAAAGAGTTGCGACTTTTTCAATGAGTTGTGACATTTTCAAAGGGTTGTGACTTTTATGATATATTAAACACAATAAGTGCATGTTCATACTACCTTTGTTAATTATAAATGGAGGGGTTTCCTCACATTTCTAAACTAAAGGATCTTAAGAGTGACATTTTCATTTTTACATATCACAATTATTTTTAAAATGAGAAAAAGAATTTAAATTTTTTTAGATAAATTTAATTGGAGGTCATAGAGAGGTGTCACATTACCTTATCTATATCTAGCTTTATATTATAAATAGGTATAGATATTTCGGATATTGATTTGACAATTTTAGTAGTCATCATAATAAAGTTCACATCCACTATTCATAGATCTTACACTTTATTATCCATTTATAATTGCTTTCTTAAAACTTTTATTTAATATTATTGATATTATTTTTTAGAAATAGTATAATACATGATTTGATTTTCACGTGCAAAACACACGTATCTCAAAACTAGTCAAAACAAAAAAAGGGAGATGTAATTCTAACCAGTGTATTTGGACACACTTGAGTTTTTACTAAATCGAAATTAGGACAATTAAGACTTAAAATTTAATAAAGCAAATCACATTCTAATTGAGCTACATTTCCCTAGCAATTGAAAGAACTTTTAATTACCCATGCATTTTTAATCTGCCACCTTAACGAACAAAGGGAATCAGAAGGTATTCCGCATAGAAAAGCTGCAGGCATTAAAAAAAAAAAAAAACTAAGTTTTAGATTTTGAAAATAAATAAATTGAAGTTTTACTTTTATTGAAAAAAAAAAATAGGAGTAGAAAAAGAAAGCAAAATAAAATTGAAAGAGAGAAAGTCACCTTCCATATAAACATATAAAAAGAAGTTATTGATACTTGACTTGATATATCGACCGATTGAGCTTTAAATAATAAAAAACAAGCAAGTAATAAATGCCCCAAAACCTGCCATACGTGTTCATGAGTTAATAGTAAAACAATGTATATATCAAGGGAAAAAAAAAATGTAAACGTACGTACAGTAACAACTTTGTTGGAAAGAGTAGTAGTAGTAGTAGCTCCAATCACCATAGCAGCTGCATATGCAGCTACAAGCATGCTTATACATAACCAAAACACCTGTTTGAATGATGAGATATTTGAGAAGATGATTGGTGCAATCACCTCAAAGGAAGATAGAGAAATTTTACAAAATTCTCTTTAAAAAGTTGACAAAACAGAAATTTTAAATTCTTAAGGGCTAATTTTGAAATTTTGAACTTCTGATCAACAATGATGGATAATGTGTGAATCAATTAAGAAGGTATGGGAAAGAGGTAGACAATGTGCGTGTGTTTTATTCTTTACTATCTAAATTTGATTATGTGATGTGTACATGTCATTGAGGAGTTAAATATTTAGACTCTACTATGGTGGAGCAGCTAGAAGATTCTTTACAAGCATATGAAGAAGAGCCACAACTTCTTGAGCAACTTCTTAAAACCAAAGTATCCTTCAAAAATTATGGAGATGAAAAGAGTTATACAGGGAATGGAATGTATGTACATCTTGTGGATTTTGAGTCAGACAAATAGAGAGTAGAGAGAATAATCCTATATATAGTCTACGAGGAAGTAGAGAATGGGTATTGCCACTAAATCGATCTAAAACCACCACTTCGATTAGAGTCCGTCGATGAAAGCACCAATGTAACAAACTCGATTCCCAACACAAAATGTAATATATATTGGATTCAAATTACAACGTATAATACGCACAACAAGTAATAATACACTAACTAAGGAGAGATAAACCGAGAAAGAAGTAACCAGAAAGGGATGAGATACAAGACCATAGAAGGGAGATGAGAGGATCAGAAAGCCAAAGCTTCACATAATAGTTTTCATCCCCATTCTTCTAACTCCTAGTCCTTTTTAACAAAGTGTAAATGGGCCTGGATCCCAAATAAAACTGGACCTATTGCTTGCTTTCGGCCCAATAGCTCTTGTCAGCCCAATAACTACTTGTGTGACCTTAATATCGATATTGGGTTGGACTTGGTTCATAACAATACTCTCGTCCTCAATAAGAACCTTGTCCTCAAGGTTCGAGTAAAGCCACACGGATAGTATAATGTGGAATCTTTCAAGACTTGAGTGTGTGTAGAGCGCTGCAATAGTGGTGTGAAGTTGAAACCAAATACTGTCAACTTCCAGAATAGAGGAAACAATTTCATTGCCTTTAGAGCATTCCATATTACCAAGTACCATAATAGAAGCCATAATTCTAAGAATTGTCATCTGCTCTTTCTTGCTAAGCCTAATACTTCCCAATACATTCTTTATATTAATATAGTCATGAGCATTAGTAGTACTTTGCTATTACATAGCAATAAGACTGTTTAAGATAGAAAGATGATTCGGGATCCCTCAATCTACACTTCTTGTTTACCTCCATGGGTGTTTCACATAGAAGGGAGAAACATTGATGGATCTGTTCAAGAATTATAACAAGGAAAGCTTGAGACCTTGCAAGGATAGAGGTTCTCATGGCTGCACCAGATGCTTTTCCAAGCTTTGCAAGCTGAATCTGTTTTGCTACAGTGCATTCTTCAACACATCTATGACCCCCGAAATAGGCAAGATAGCACATAAGCCTCATTATAGGTTTAAACTTTCCACAACTAACCAAGATAGAAGTGTTTTTACTCTCAACGAGCATCGACTTGTGAACAATATAATCATCAACAATTGAAGCATCTTTAACCAACTCAACCTCACTATAAATCATAGACAAACTCCAATGATTATTTTCACAAGCTTGGAATGCTGTAAATTCATACAGTGAAAAATTGGGAGGGAAGTCAATAATTTTATCACCCAAATCCAAAGCGTCACGCATTATCAAAATAATGAATCCATCAGCACCATATCCAACAAGAATATGCTCAAATTCAAGGTCGGGACCTGTAGCATAACTAGCTAGTACACCCTCAGCGCCAAAAAAAATCATGATCTCCTCAAGCGTAGAGAAATTATGTAACTCATGCTCAATCAAGTTCATCGTGGACTTGATGCAGCCTTGTAGCCCTCCTGTGAGTTGCGCTAATAGTCGTTGTAGGAATCGAAATAACTTGGGAAGACGTATAATATCCAAAGGTGCAATTGGTTGGATCTCCCGTGATGCAACTCTCACGAAACGATCATCAAACACACGATTCACCTTAGAGGATGTATCATGTACTTCCGATTCCATCATTACCATCTCATCTGCAACAGCCCACTAACCAAAACTTTGTTGTCCGGGATCCCACACTTGAGTTGGAGAATTAGCATAAGCAATGAAACAAAACATGTTAGTATATCCCAAGGACTGTAATAGATCCACGTTCGTTATATCTGTACAACTCGTTGGATCCATGGAGTTAGAACTTATTCCCGGATCCCATACACAAACATTCGTCGCAGTTCCATGAACAAAGACAAAAGAGGAATTCACATTAGGATTAAATGAAAATTGACACAAGATATTGTAAGCATTGAATCCATCTGTAGTTATTCCACGCTCCACAACAAGCATCATTTCATTCGAAGGTATGGTCCTTGGTGGAATGTTATCCTCAATGTTTAGAAAAAAACTATCGAGATATAGATCATTAATTGTCTCAGGCTCCAAGGAAAACTTCAGAAGATATTTGTCACCAAATGTCTCAAATGCAATTTTATGTTTACTAGAGCTAAGATCCAGCGAAGTAGCAGTAGTACTGTACCTCTTTGACATATCTCTTCGGGAACATTCTTCGAACACTTGGACTTTGCTGCGTTCAGGGCCTGGAGATTCTTCATCAAGCATTTTGATTGGAGTCTCGGTTTGCACCTCTGCGACTACCATGGGGCAGCAAGTATGAAAAAATTCGTTGAGAGACTTGAGTGGCTGAAAATCTTCCAAATCGGAAGAAGTTTCCTGTACTTCTTTAGTGAAAACTCTGGTAGGCATTTCGTCGAACAGATTGTCCACATGACTTGAATGTTCAACAATAAAAGTGCCAAACAACTCTGGATGACTCTCAACATTATCAACACAGTTTGAGTTTTCTTCGGCCGAAGGAGAAGAAATCTCTCTGCTAACGACTGTAGCAGCACTAATCCCGGCATCTTCTACTAGCACTTTGTGGAGATATAAATGAACATTTGTCCTCCAGATTCTGTAGCAAAGCAAGAATTCTGGTAATTTGAGTGTCCACCACAAAAGACTTTGCATCGGTTCGTTTCCAAAAACGCAAGGCTAACTTCTTCTTAAAATGATTCCAATCAAAAAATTGTTTGTTGCGAAACATCCAACGAAACCACTCAAGGGCCTCACCATCAAGATAGAAGGAAGGAAGAGGCAACCACTGTTCCTCGCAGAAATTGCATCGGTTCGTTTCCAAAAATGCAGGGCTAACTTCTTCTTAAAATGATTCCAATCAAAAAATTGTTTGTTGCGAAACATCCAACGAAACCACTCAAGGGCCTCACCATCAAGATAGAAGGAAGGAAGAGGCAGCCACTGTTCCTCGCAGAAGCCTAGAAAAGTAAAGTACCGCTCCGCCCTATAGATCCAGTCCTCTGGATCAGTGTTGCCACTAAATCGATCTAAAACCACCACTTCCATTAGAGTACGTCGATGAAAGCACCAATGTAACAAACTCAATTCCAGCAGAAGCACTCTTATATATATTAATCACTGAATACAAGTTATAATGTAGAATACGCACAACAAAGTAATAATACACTAACTAAGGAGAGATAAATCGAGAAAGAAGTAACCAGAAAGGGATGAGATACAAGACCATAGAAAGGAGATGAGAGGATCAGAAAGCCAAAGCTTCACATAATAGTTTTTCATCCCCATTCTTCTAACTCCTAGTCCTTTTTAACAAAGTGTAAATGGGCCTGGATCCCAAATAAAACTGGACCTATTGCTTGCTTTCGGCCCAATAGCTCTTGTCAGCCCAATAACTACTTGTGTGACCTTAATATCGATATTGGGTTGGACTTGGTTCATAACAGTAATATCATAGTGAAATAAAAGAAGGCCGTTTCTTTTAAGTTTGTAGTAAAGTTTATGGTTGACTGATATTTTGCCCATTACGAGTTAGCTTATATTTCTCCACAGTAACAAGTATTTGGTGTAGTTGTTATTCTTTTATTTTTGTTGTTTAGCGTGGATTTGCAAACCTGTGTCTGAGATAGATTACTCAGAAACATACAACTAGTTGCAATATAATGGAGCTTGAGTAAATTTGACTAACTCGTTCTTGTCCAAGGCTGACACTGAAAGATTGGATGCCAAAATTTCTATCACCGTTGACATCAGGAATATCCTGTCAAAGTCACAAAGCTTTAATTGAAAGATTATTTGGTTTAACTAGCCCAAATATATATAGTTTGAAATTAAGATTACCTTAAACAGGGCAATGACAGCAGTGAAGATGCACATAAATGTGACAGCAAAAAACAGAGATCTTGTATAGAGAATAGGCCTCACCAGCACATATTTCTACAGAAAAATAAAATACTAGTATAAATTTTCACAAAAGTTAATGGTCGATCGGTAAATAAGGACATACTATATAGCTAGGTACCTACCTGTATATGTGCAAAAAAAGCAAACTGAACAATGATAGCCCTCACAACCATGATGCATATTGCAGCCAGGGATGCATTTCTTTTCCATCTAAGAAAAGGTAACTTTAAAACAGTGGATTCAGTTAGAAATGATACGAATAAGTTGTTAAAAATAATCAAATGAGAGACGGAAAAGAGTTACCTCTATAGAATATGCACTTCCAAGAAGAAAGCTAACAATGAGAGCAGCTAACAATGGTGGAGATTGAAACTTAATTCCCATACAAAAACTCTGCAAATATATTACTTAACTATTAGGATTTACAAGTAGAAAACTTGGTACAAGGACAAAAAAGACCAAATACATGCAAATATATTAATGTTTACTTTTTGGACTTGTGTTTAAGTTAACAAATACATTTAATTTGGAGCAAGGAACAAGATCTTATTTGTACAATAGATTACTATAATTCAACACGAGAGATTCAAAGTAAATAGAACAAGGAAGAAATTGCAAACCATGAGTAGGGAGGTGATAACTATTGTGATGCCTCGTTTCATTGAAATTTCTCCAGAAGCCAGTGGCAGACTTGGTTTGTTCACCTGACATGAAAAAGAGGGAAATGTAACAATCCAATCAATTCACTAGTATTATTACATTGTCTGTTTTGGGCAACGAACGAGAAAATCTCACATCTATAAATCACAAACCCAGAGACATATAAATAAATCAGTAGTGGATGTGGTTATTATAAAACATAAATTACCTTGTCTATTTCGACATCAAACAGTTGATTTAACCCAACCACATAAACGTTCATTAACAGTGATGGAATTAATGCCTATACGAGAAGAAACAAATTAAATTAAAACGTTACACAAACAAGAATACATATATATACCAAAGGAAGGACATTTTTCGATGTGTTGAATTTTACCTTTAATAGTCCCAGAAAAAATGTGGGAGAAATATCTGCTAAGGATTTAATTGGTAGAATAGAGACTGAAGTAATCCCTATGATCTGGGAAATAAGAAGATGAGTAGCAAGCAACAATGAAAATGGAAGAAATAACAGAGAAAGAATTTACTCACAGTTCCAAATATAGTGTGTGGGCGAGAAAATTGATAGAATGCATTGAGTTGCGTCCTCCATAAACCATCCATTTCACATTGTGCTGCAATTATGTACCTTTTTGATACACTACTCCATTTCTGCCTTGGAAAACACAACTTCCTTTGGGGAAATATTCTACCATTTGAAACTTCAATTCCTATACATCAACTGTTAGTCCCCTACATATATATAAAATAATAGATCTACACATATATGAATATGATATAACGTACATACCCTTTGTAACTGAGGGGAATTGGCACGAACATGCACGTAAATGGAGCATTATATATTCTTCTTTAAACAAACAACTTATGCGGCTGCTCAAATTCCAACATGAATTGCCTCTTTCACATTCTTCTTTTTCATCCTCTAATAAACCTGACCTAATTCTTTTTTCTTATTTATCTCTAAGGGTTTGTTTACAAAGTCATCAACTAATTGAAATTGGTGTAATTAGGTAGTAATTACCAGCCTAATAATTACATAACCTAAAAATCATAAGGTTATATTAAATTTTAAAAATAAAAATTAACTATTTAACACAAAAAATTTATATTAGATAAATAAGGGGCTTTATAAATGATATTAAATTAAATATTTAAGATATATATTGTCTCTTGAAAATATATTAATTAATAAACATATGTTTTTAAGTAATATTATAAAAATAATTGATTTATATTTTTCAGTTTAGTATATTTTAATTAAATTAATCATAAAAACTAAAAGTACATAATTTCTATGAATATGATGAAATGCATGTTTGACAAAAAGATTAATATTATAAATACAATATCATAAAATTATAAAACATTTGACATAAAGATAATCTATTAAGTTTAACTTAAAAAAATAGCTTGTAATGTAAAATATTGAGTCAATACTGCTAAAATAAATAAAATTAAAAATATAACATAAGTTCTAAATTCAAAACAAAAAATTTAACATAATACTCTTATGTCAAATTTCAACATAGATACATAAATATGATTTAAAAGAAAAGGAAAACGTAAGTCCATAACTTCATTCAACAATGAATTCTATATTAATTCAAAAATTAGAATACTAACAAAATTATATTAATGAATTTTTTAGAAGATAGAAAAAATTGCATGGAATCACATGAAGTAAAAGTTGAGAATAAGAAGGAGATGAAATATGAATGATATAAAAAAATATTTTTTAAAAAAAATTAGGATAATAAAAATAAAAATAAAAAATACATTAAAAAGAAAAAAATTAAAACAAAAATAAAAGAAAGAAATAAAAAAGTAATCAACTTGTAATTACACCATGGAATTGCCAACAATTCACACTCTCCCCCTGTGAATTGGAGTGTGTAATTTCACCCTATCAATTACACCCAATTACTTGCTGACCAGGTAATTACATGCACTACCAAACAGAACAAACAATGTAATAACACCAATTACACCAAATCCAATTATAGGGTCGGCTTTCCAAATAGGCCCTAAATAAATAATGAGTAAATTTTAGGTTTAGCAAACATAAAAAATCATATTTGTATGTTATAGCTATAGTTTGTATAATTGCGCTCCATAACAAACTTTATGTTTGCTATGGAGCATTAGATTTGTATAAATCGCTAGCAGCCTCTCATTTGTATAAATCGTTGACAGCCTCTCATTTGTATATGTTGACACCCAATTTTGACCCTTCACAATATAAATTAATCATTTCGAGCTTCTCCAATTTCAAACGATTTAAAATAATTAGTTTTATAAAATTTCCAAAAATAATAATAATATAGTTTGCAAGATTTTTAATAGTTTTGTCACTTTTCATAATTTTTAGATAATATATACGTTTTACATAATCATGTATATAATTAGTATATTTTATGATTTTTCAAAAATCCTCTCAAAAATATTTTTATTTTTTATATTTTATTAGTGATGGTTGTAATTTTGAATTAATGAATCTTATGAAATTCAAAATACTTTCAAGTTGTTTTTAGAGTAATTTTATCATTTTAAATAATAGATATGTATATTTTCACAATCACGGTTTTTTATAAATATTTGAAAATCATCACAAAAGATTTTACATTTTAGTTAAATATTTTATTAATTTACTTTAAGTTATAGTTATAATTTCGAGTTAATTAGTTTTGTAATTGAATTAATTAGTTTATAATTAAGTTAATTATTTTTTACTTCATTAAGATTAAGAAGTTCATTAATTAATTTATGTTAATTCATCTTATTTAGTTTTAACCGAATTCACCAATTTAATTTAATTTGGCAAACTACTTAATTCCCATTGGCCAAGTTTGAGATCCATTTGTTTATTTCTTAAAATCCAAATATAACCAAACTTTGCTCCTTGATTGGGCCAAATTTAAGATCAAATTTGGCCCAAATTCCACTCCATTCTCAAAGCCCACTCAGCAGCCCACCTAAAGAAACCCATTCCAACAATATTCTGCATACATTACAATGATCCAAACATATGAACAGCAGCCCAAACAAAATGACCACTGCGTTCTCTTTCTTCTTCACCAGCACGTGAATGCACTGAAAAACCCAGAAGTGTCAACAACAGCTTGCAAACGTCAACAATAGCTGCCCTCACCAAACCATTCCAGCAGCTCCCACATCCTTTCTCTGCAACAGCTGCCCACCCTTCCTGTCGTCCGGATTTTGTGGGATTTGGGTTGATTTCTTGTACAAACGAGCAACTCTTTGGTTCTTGGGAAATTTTGAATTGAGGATAGAGTGGGAGAATTTCGATTCTACCCTCGTTCTCACTTGAACTTTCGTCCCTTTCCCCCAAGAACGAACCCCTTTTTTTTTTTTTTTTCCATCTATATAAACCTCTTCTTATTCACTGTGGAGAGGGGGGGTTTTTTAAAAAAAATATATAGATATATACTTGAGGACTAGTGTTCAAAAAGACATAAAAAGATACTTCGAAAGCAGGGGAATACAATAGTTTTCGACGTTTGGGTTCCATTTTCTGCCTAGATCTCTTGACCATCATTTGTAACCGAGTTCTCGTGGTGAAGATCGCCGCCTCTGTTCGTCTGTCCCAGTTGCTTCCCCGAAAAAGGTAATATCCCTTTCCCTTTGCTAAGTGTTACTCTTCTTGCTGATGAAATACGTTGTGTTATTGATCTTCTTTAAGCTATATATTTTTTTTTTATTATTTTTTGCTCATGTTCTTCCTTGATCGACTGTTGATGTTTGTTAATTGGTCGTTTGGGTTTGGAGTCGATGCTTTAATTGTTAAGGCATAAATTGTGTCTTCTGTGTTTGATTTATGCCTAGAACTGTTTGATTAAGCTCGGTTTTTTCCCTCTAGATTTCAGTGTTCAATGGCATGTTTCCATGATCTATGCACTTCTGGGTGATACTTGTTAAAATGTCCTTTTTGTTGTTAGTTTGATTGTGTGTTTACTCTTTTGGTATTCCGTAGTTAGTAGCTTTAAGTTCGAAGTTTGAGGAAAATTTTAGTTTGGTTGGAATTGTTTGTTACTGTTAGAATAGTTATCCATATAGGTTTAAGATCTCTTTATTAATTAATACGGCAAATCATATGCGGTGTAAATGGCGTTCGTATGCTAATGGTTTAGCTTTCTTTGTTTTCTTGATCTCTTTGCTGTTGCACTGTTTTGAATAACATGTTAGAGACCTTTCCATGAGTTGTTGCCTACTTCTTAAGGTTCAAATTTCCTTGACTACCTATATCGCGTTTCTTAATCCAACGATACTATTTTCAACTAGTGGAAGACATCTGTTCATCTGCCCATTTTTTTTAATTTTTTGTTGTGCTCTTCTGTAATGTGTTTTCTTTAATAGAATTTGGGAGTCATTGGTGGGTCCTAATTGTTTTTCTTTGACTTGTTGCATCGTCCTCTCTAGTTTATAAATATGCTAGTAATATATGTAGGTTTCCATGTTGGTTCTCCTTAGTTAAATTTTCACCAAAGACTTTGTTCACTATAGCCATTTGTAATTAAGTTATGATTGCTTATGATCACTGTAATGCATATTGCTAGTTACCATGTCAATTCATTATTTAAATGGTCATTTTGTTCTCTAATGTCATCACTTTAAAACTTCATGCTGTCCATAGCACTTGAAAAAATGAGTTAATTTCATAGAATTGGTCTTATGTATTTTGCTTCACCAAAATTGATTTGGTTGCTTTGAATTTTAATGTTTAGTGACTAAATGTCAAGGTTAGTCATGCCTCTTTGAGCTTTGCGTAAGTTGATGTTATTCCTCCATTTTGAGTGGGAGTTTAAGTGATATCGATTTTTTCTCATGCCTATTGTTTGATTCATGGTCAAATGCTCAAGTCCTTTTTGTTAGTATACGTGTTTATTATTGCCTTTGCTTAGTTTTATGTGGCATTTTTTTTAAAGTTTTAATGACACTGATTCCAATAGTTTGGTCCATTTTTTTATTGTAATAGTTGTTTCTTTATCAGCCATCTTCATCTAGATAATTAGGCAGAAACTCATTATTCATTTGAACATTCCTAGCCTACTTGCTTATCTATAATTATTATCATCTACTATCCTATTTTATCATGTGGGGGTTGGTTTAATTTCAAGTGAAGGTTCTTCAAATATTGTATTTTTTTTTCTTTGTCATCTTTGCATACATTGGCATAGTGAACTAATCACATGTGTTTTTATATTATTTTAATTTTATATGCTTTAGTTATATTATAGAATTTTAAAGTATGCTTCAATCTCTAATTTTTATCTTCTTTTTTTTAAACTCTTTTCTATACACGAATGCCTCTTCCTGAGTCTTGGAAGACTCCCTCTCTTTGGCATTTCGTGGATTGGGCCCTACAGGCCCAATTCTATATTTTCTATCGAGTCCAAAATAGCCGACGAACAGGTCCTTGAAGGCAAGATGTTGGCTGGAAATTGAAACATGAGCCTCCAAAGGCTCAAAAGGTGGGCTGTATACAGCAGTATACACTCACTATACAGGTCGAAAAGTGTGAAAATACAGGGCTGAGAGGAAATACATGTGTTTGGAAGCAAGAAATACATAAAAAGGGCTGA